TGAATTTTTAATATAATTTTTTGTGAGATATCCTTAAAAATTAGGATAACATTGTTAATAATAACATTGAAAAGAACAAAAAAAAAAAAAAACAGAAATTTTTTTTTTCTTCTTCCCTATTTCCCTATATACCTACCACCTCCTACTCTACCACACCATTTCCGAATTGTTATTGTATTTTCTTATTCACTAACAAGTAACAATTTTGTTTTTATTATAGAATCCCTCATAATAATTCCATTGTAAAATAAAAAATAAGAAATAAAAAAAAAAAAAACAATAATAAACGGGATGACGGCACGTGTTCAGAGTATCTGATTTTGAAACACCACTATAAATATTTATGAACAAATATATACAAGTATGTATAAAAGTTTGTATAAAAGTTTGTATACAAGTATGTACTTAATGTTTTTTGATGGTTGCCAAAATATAATGGAAATATTAAATAAATATAAATAAAAAATTTATTTATGACTGATTTTTTTATACATTGTATATGTATATACATACAATACATATGTATGTATGTATGTATGTGCAACAAAATATTTTTAAAGCTTTAATATTTTTAGAGAAAAATCTAGAAAATTTCGGATATTCTATTCTCAAGAATAAATAAGAAATACTAAAATTTAGTTTAGAAAGAAAAAAAAAAAGGAAATTTTCTCTTTCCGTTTTTGTTTTTTGTTTTTATTACATTACTAAATAAGAAAGTTAATTTTTTTCTATAGAAATTTTCTATTTTTTTTTCTACAATAAATTCCTTATTAGTAAATAATTTTTTTTTGTTTATTGTAATTCCCATAACAAAATAATTTGCAATTTGAATAGAAATTTTTTTCAAAAAAAAAAAAAACAAAAATTCCTTTTTTATATTTCTAGATTTCCATTAGAATTTCTTAAATTTCTGATAGAAAATCTCAATTCAATTTTGATTAACAATCAAGAAATTTGTATATATACTTAAATAGTTTCTCATAAACTTTATATTTTAAATAAATCAGCTATTTGCAATAAGATTTACTTATTTCCATATTTGTTAATTATATTCGAAAACATGTTCCGAAAGTTTGAAATATTTAGCAAATTTACATATTGAGAAATTTTCAATAATTAATTAAAAATTAAAGAATATCACTAATTAATATCTATTTTATTAAAACTAAACTATATCCTCTTCTTGAAAATATATAGAATAAATTTTTCAATGAAATAAGATCTTCTTCAAGCTACAGTAGTGTGTAAAATAATAGCAGTATGATGAAAAATTGTAAGTTAAAAATTCTATGCTGCTTTATAGCCATTCATCATTTTTAGTTAAACACCCTATATGATTTTAAAATTTTAATTTCGAGACAGCCAGATATTCTACGCTAAATTATAACTATAAAGAGAACGTAATTTCTACAACTTGTTCAACATAGTTTATTTCTCTTACTCAAAATTTCCTACAATTTAAATTTCTCTCTATAAATCCAACTTGTATGATGAGAAAATTGTATGATGCAAAAGAAATTGCAATTTGCAATGCAAAATGTAAAATAGTAAATTTTACGCAAATGTAAGTCAGAACGTGCAGGGCTCCAATATTAGAGTTACAGATTTTCAAATATGTTATAAAATAAGTTCTTGTATTCAAAGATTTTTCTAATACAAACTATAATTTCTGATAATTAGAGTAATTTAAGTTGCGGAAGTTGTGTACATGAAATGAAATACATATATATAATTGAAAAATTACAATAAAAATTGGAAAAATAACTAAAAGAAGAAGAAAATTTCCTTGCATTTTAAAAAATAAGTCTATTTTCTAATTATAATTTAATAAACTTTAGTCCGAATTTAACAAAAAAAAATTTCTCAAAAATTAAATTTTTAACTCTAAATAAAATAAGGTTAATATAATATATATGTGCATGTAAGTAATACCGAAATTTAGTTCTTGAATATGAAGTCTATTACGTATTTCAGCAAACAAAGAACCTAAAATAATTAGGCTGGAAATCGGATCTCACGCAAATCGCTAATATTTGTAACTCAAAATTACATTATACAAGGATCATTTTCGAGATTCTGTAGAGACAAATAAAAAACATGCTCTCTTAGAAATCGAAATTTTCTCTTATACGTTTCAGAAACGAATATTTTGATTCAGATTCAGTAAATTCTATGACAAAAATTTAATTTTTATGAGTTGTTTACGTTTCCAACATGTTCAAGTATAAAACCTTTCAAGTATCATACATTTAGGATTCCGCTATAGGCTTAAACAATACATAATAACTCAATAGATGACTCTTAGGTAAGATTGAGAAAATTTTACCGTAAATTTGTATTTTGATTATTTATTATTTTTGCTGTAGGTCATAATAGGCTTCCCAAGTTATACCTATTATATACGTACATACAAATTCTTTCAAAATATACACTGATACAAATTTTTATTTTAAAGTACAAAAAATGAAAAATTTAAATTTTAAAGAAAAATAAATTTTAACAAATATTATTGTTGTTACCTAAGAAACTTTCCAAATTAATTAATGTAAAGAAATATATGTATAGGTATACTTAGGCTTTAAAGCAAAATACAGAAAAAAAACAATACAAATGCAAAAAAAAGACTGAAAGAATCTAATTCCTTAGGCAATAAAAATTTTGTATTACAGTTAAGAAAAAATTTTAATTTAAATTTTTTTATCTACACAACACACCAGGACAAGATAGATTGACAGAGAGAGATAGAGAGAAAGTAAAAGACTATTTAAGAGGAACTGGGGGGAAATTTTAGATTTTTCGATAAATTTTACCTCAATGTCATTTATAGGAAGAAAAAACAAAAAAAAAAAGAAACTCTCATTCGAAATTTTTCTCTCCATTCCTACGTATGCCAGCTATGTAGTTCATTTAGAAACACGAGCAACATTATTAAGGATAAAATTTGTTTATTTGTCCTTATATTTAAAAAAAAAACAAAAATAAGAAAATAGAAAAAGTAAAAAAAAATCATAGAGCCTAGAATTTATGAATTTTCTTAGAAAAAAACCAAATAATAATTTTTTTTCTGTTTTTTGGTATTTCGGAAGGAACTGATCTGAAAAATTTTTTCTTTTATTTTTTTTTTTTAAGTTAAAAAATTTTCAATCATGAACTCTGACACGTAGAAGAAAATTTTATACTTTTCATAATGATTTTCGTTTCTTGTTTTTTGGGTTTTGAGCATGCAGGCAAGCAGAATTCTTTTCGGCAAAAAAAAAAGAAAAACAAAAAAATTCTTCTGAGAAAGAAAAAATATTTCTCTTTTTTCATTATTTTAATATTTTTTTTCTCAAAATTGAATACCATTAGCAATTCGCATTGATTTTTGTTTTTTTTTCCTCATTTCTCATTTTTTAAACTCTGTCTTGCTATTGCCACGTATAATTTAATGCTATATCGTATATAAATATTATATGGAGGCGTATATATATATCTACATATTATATATATATATATATATATATATCTAAATATTATATATATATATATATATATATATATATATATATATATATATATATGCAATACAAATATTATTATAATTTTAATAATGAAATAAATTTTCTTCTTAGTTAGATACTAAGCTGATTTAAAAGTATAATTTTCAAGAAAAAATTAAATAAGACTTCTATATCGCAAGGTCTTCTATACACTCTCGCTCTATAATAAAGCACTGACATATATACGTATGTACAATGTATTCTTTGATAGTAGACTTTAATTTATGTATGTATATTTCATTGATAACTTGATACTATATGCACTGATCTCCTGTTATTTGCTAATGAAGTATATTTATCTGTTATACTTCACGGTATAATAATTATGCAGCAAATATTATTATAGTTATTCCTCTTCATCCGTTTATATATAGAAAAACTTTTGCAATATTTTGTTCAGCATTAAGAATTTAATCGAAATTTTTTTAGAGGGGAGAATAGATACATGTATTGTGAGGGGAGAGTATGTATATTATATCAGAAGAATTTTATAACTTTTAAAATTTTTGTTATAATTTTAATAAATGTTTTATTTCATTTTCTATTTTTGATTTTTAAATGAAAATTTGAAAAAATAATTTCTTTAAAATTTTGAAGAAAATTTTTTATGAAAAGTCAAAAGCTTATTATGTATGTATTTTGTTATAATATAGTATGTTAGGCATTCAATTAATTTCAAATTAATGTTAAGTTGTATGACAGAATTATGACATGAAAATTACAATTTAAGAAACTTAATATATAAGTTATAGGCATAACAAACTTTTCTTTTCCAAAATTCTCATAAATTTTAGTTATTAAAAAATCAAATATTTTGTAACTTTTAATGTATGTACATACATAGATATAGGAAATATGTTTTTTTTTTGAAAATTTTGTATTAGTGCATATGTATGTAAATATATGCTCAAGCTTTTAAAGCAATATTTAATTCATAGAGCTCTAAAAAGCTCTGAACCATTCTTGAGAAAATTTTCACTCATTTTTAGCCATTTTTGGGCAAAACAAAATGGAAAAAATTATATGTTTAGAAATTTCACTCAGTACGTCCGACCGTTTGCCCGTCGCCCGTGTGTTCGCTTCCAAAACTTCTACATTTTTTAAGATAAAGAGCTCAAATAAAAAATTTTCAACTATTATCATCCTTATTATTAATTTATTCTTTCATAAAATTTTTCCATTAATTATTTCTGAAAATGAAATTACGCAATACTAAAAATTTAATAAACATACATAATTTTTATTTAATAATTAATAAATTTTTTAAAAAATAAATAATTTCTTGTTCCAATTAACAGTTATAGTGCACAATATCGTAATTCCAAATAAAAACTTTAATATTGAAAATTCGAATAATTTTTATTTTATTTCATTTGTATTAATAATGAAAACATTGAAAAGGAAAATTTCAAGACCTACAAAATATTAAAATAGAAAAAATTATAATTAATTTATTAAATTTTAAAGAAAAAATCTTACTCCTAATAATGTATCTAATGATATTGGTAATAAATTTCCAGCTTTTAATTGATCAAATTGTTGACTTCTTATCATAAAAATTATAATACATTTTTTAAATTTTTCACTTTGATCCATCCAATTACATTTGAATATTGCATTTTTTAAATCATCAAATTCATCATACATATGATTTGATAAATATGAACATGGAAATGATTCACTTAATATAACAATTAAATAAACAATAGCTGTTATAGTTTCAGCAAGTGTTGTCTCATATATTAATAAATTAACACCAGTAACACATATTATAAATGCAGTAACCAAAAATATTATAAACATTGTCCATGATATTGTTATAGAAATTTCATTGAAACAACTGCAATTATACGTAAAAGAAAATATTATTTTATATTAAAAATATTATTAAATTTGTTCTATAATAGCTTTAAACATATATACAACACTTTATATCTGTAATACTCTCAAATATCCCACAAACTATAGTAGTAATCAAAGTTGTTTACACAAAGTAGTAACTGCAAATAAGCACTTACTCTTCTTCTCGTACATGAGCACTGAGAGAGACAGAGGGAGAGAGGAGAAAGTTTTTATATTTTTGCACGGAAAATTAATAGCACATTTACTCATTTTTAAAAATTGTTTGCTAGTTTATAAGATTTTTAGGCTTTAACTCATTATTTTGGTTACATCATCTTTCTGTTCTACAGTCGTATAAACAAAATTCTTTCGTTTATTTCGTTGAGACAATAGAATAATTTTTATTCTTATATACGTATAACAGAATTTTCATACAAAACGACGTTTCATTTAGCAACTATTTCAGAATACAAGAAATAATAATTTACATTCCAGTAAAAATCGATTATATGTATACATACAAGTATGCTGCTGTTTAGACTAAAAATATCTCTATAATTCTAAATTTTGCTATTGCTTAAAAATGGGAAATTTAATATGTAACATAATAAATACAATGCAATTTCGTAATAAGGGCCATTATTATAAATCTTTTCCGAATTTAATTTACATTCACGAATAAAGAATAATCAACAATATACTTTTACCATTTGTTCAGCTGAATGGTAGAAACACTAAAATTTAGAAAATGTACTGAAAACTATTAAGCAATTAAAATATTGGGCAACTTACAATATTCTGAATTAAATATTTTTCTACTCTGTAGGAATATAAAATTAAATTAATTAATTACATATATATATGAATTTTACCTTAATATATCAATATGATCCTTAACACAATTAATTAATTTATTAAAATTTCTTTTATCATTTTTAATAATATTTTCTTTCAAATTATTATTTAATAAAAAATTTTCATCATCATAACCAATCCTTGATATTCTTAATTTTAATGCATGTAAATGTGCTGTTAATATTAATATATAACATGCTGGATATATATCATTTGATAAATTTTGTGCTGCCAATAATGTTGATGCAATTATTTCATATAAATATGCAAATTTATAATATTTTCCCATATAATCAAATGGAAACCATGCATTAAATGGTAATTTTTTAATTGGTGAAAATAATGGTGATATTAAGAAACCAGATAATGCCATACCAAATGTTATACTATAAAAAATATACATAATTTGACAGAAACGAATAATTTTTCTTAAATAATCACATTCTAATTTTGATGTTAATAATAATGGATCATTTATTCTTTCATCTAATTTCTTAAAATATTTTTCTGCTTTAATTAAATGTTTTTTAAAAAACCATATTGTATATTGTTTTAATGATGTTGTTAAAAATGTCATATTAATAGCAAAATCAGCTAAAAATATTTTTAAATTAAATTCAGATTGTGCAAATATTGATGAAAATAAAAATATTGGTGCTAAACCACTTATAAATATTCCAATAAATATATATGCATAAATTCCATAAAGAAAATTAAATTTAGATGATAATGGTGATCTCATGCCCATTACACTCCAAATGAACCATATAAAACCAAATACTTTTGGTGTATCAATTGATTTTTCAGCAGCAGTAGTAGTAGTAGCGGCGGTAGCAGCAGCAATAGGATTAATAATTTTCACTGATTTTTTATCCATTTTATTATTATTGCCTTTAATATATTTTAATTTTCTCTGATTGAAGATTTTAGAATTTTGAGATAAGTTCAATTGAATAACAGAATAAAATGATAGAATAAATATAGCAATCGCGTTCTATGTCCAACCGATAACGTGAATTAAATTAATCTGTTGTAAAAATTTACACTTAAATGAGCACTTAACATAAAATTATTATGGAAAATTCAAAACTAATATCAATTTTAAAATACGATAAATCTCATATTTATAATTAAATTTTAAAATTTTAAATAAGTTTTTAATAAGTATTTATACTAAAAAACTTTATGAATAAGAAAATATGAATTGTGCATGTTCGCCTTCTCTTACTTATACAAATTACATGTTTCTATATACAATTTATTTATATAAAAGTTTTTTTTTTAAAATTACATGTTTTCTTTTATTTTTATAACATAACATTGTAATTAACAACTTTATTTTAATTGTGGATGCCACCATAATCATATAAGTATATCGGAAATACAATCAATATTACGTAATTATTGTTCAAATTTTAATCTTGACTCATTATAGAATATACAAATTTAATATTTTAATAGAATATTACAAATAGCAGAATATTACAAATAGCAGAAATACAAAGACATTTTCAAAACTTCTTCTAATTTAAGTCTATTAATTCATACCACATAATCTGATTAATTCCGAAAATTTATTAGAAATCAAATAAATTGTTCTTTGAATGGTTAAGAGTAGAAACAATTTGATAGCAGTAGACTGATTTTTACTCCATACTATACACATGGATGTATTCTTTCGAGAACATTAAATTCCAATTTTCTTCGGAAAATGATAAAGATTTCTCTTTATTAAATGATACTTTGAAGTATAGTCCGGAATTAGATCCCGCATTTTATTCGAACTTATTAAAAAGATTGATCTCGGGGAGGTACTTTAGTCGCCATTGTCTATAATTTATAGGAGGACACAATAAATCCAACTAATGGTGTGTCGAGGAGCATTCTCACATATAATTGTTACAATCTACAATCAAAAACATACTTGCAAATAGCAAATTTTTACGAATTTCTTTTTAATCAACTTAAGCCGACCCTGTGTATTTTTTGAATTATTATAAATTTTGACTACAATTAACGTACCAGTGATCCTGGACTTTATAACAATAAAATTATTTTAAACATAAATATTTTAATTTTTCATCCAAAATTAATAATTTAATAATGAAGAATATTTTTGTAAAATTTGTCATGAATTTGAATAAATTTAATTATTATTAACATAATGAAAAAAAATATACCATTAGTTTAATTTTGCATCTACAAAAAATACAAGAAAGCATCCTATATACAAATTATAACAATGTTTTATATTGTTATATGTCCTTAAATTTATGGTCGAATAACAAACGCTTCCAACAAACATTATCGCATCTCTTTTGTATAATATGAAAATATTGTATGTTTAATAACAATGTATGTACCACTATTATTTACACATACTTACTCATTTTATATGTATATATGCAATTAAATGAATGTAAAATCATACCATAAGGATATTTATTTTATAAAATATACAGTATAAAAGTTTTTTTTTTTTTATATTAGAAATAATAAAAATGAATCATCCATCATAATATAATTATATATCATATACTTATTTTCTGTATATATGGTACTCTTAAATTCCCATGAATCATCAGGATTTATAAAGTTGAATGCATTTCATTTTATATGTATAATATTTTCTATTTTTTTGTTATACGTCTTTATATATATATCTTTTATACATATGTATATTATAGTCCTTATTATTTGTGAATAATTTTAAAATTTACATTAGTTTTAATGTCAACCACATCATAAATTTCAAATAAAAATTTAATATACATACATACATATATAGCCTGTATAACTATAAACTTAAATTATTATATTATTAAAAGAATTTAATATTAAGAATTATTATAAAATAAATTTGGAAAAATTTAATTTCCTACTTGTAGTTCCCTTACTACTTAAATAGTTTTGCCAAAAAGTTATATAGGATACTGGTTTGGTTATTCACGTGGCGAATTTTTTAAATTTTAATTCTGCAATTAAATCATATCCAACCTTTCCCTATAGAATTTAGAAAAATTGCTATGCATTACAGGATTCTATTGTTAATATTTATTTATTACATTGTTAATATAACGTAACGTAAAATTCTGCGTTAAATTAGACATGTCCGTTCGTCCATCCATTCGATCGCACGATAACTCAAAAACTAATATGGTAAATATCACTAAACTTTTACAAATTGTTTCTTTTCTGCAATGGACAGACTCTATTGTAATTGGATTAAATTGAAGAACTGGTTCGGGTATAGCTGCCATACTAATTCAAATTGATTATTTTAAAATTTCAATTTCAAAAACTATTAATATGAAATTTTGTAAATATAAAACTTAGCAATGTGTTTCCAGCTGTGGGACACATACATACTTGAATGGCAATGTGCAGAGTATAATTCAGTTGGTTTAGATCGACTGAAACGTTTCTACTTATTTAGTTTATATGAATCCTACAATACAACTGCAAACAGGTACCTTTCTTTAAATGTTCTCTAATATAAATAAAGTTTTTTTTTATTTGTTGCAGTTATTTAGGCAGTTGAATAATTATTTTCTTACAGCATTGCGTTACCACTTCTCATTTCACTCCTCTCACATTGCTTTTAATAAAAAAAAACCCGAAAAGAAGGCAAATTGTTGCAGAGAAAAATAATAAGGAAAAAACGAGGCTACGTATTGTCGGAATACAATATAAGTGCAGTGTGATTTACAGTTAATTTAATTGAGTTCAAACTTTGGATTTTAGACGCTGGTTATGAATTATAGCAAACTCTTTAAATATGGGGTTTATTAATATTTTATTTTCGGAATGCTATTAATAAATAATGTTTTATTAAAAACAATAAAATTCTTCTAACTTTATTAGTGAAAAATTTAAAGAGTAAATAAAATGAAGTCTTTAATTTTTCTATTAACTACTCTCAATTTAATATTAAGAATTTGGTATTTAACAAAGTTCGTACACTAATATTAAAGTAAATTAATCAAAAACAATAAATTAAAATAGACAAAATAAAAAAAATTTTTTTTCTTGTTCCTTGATTACAGAGGACATGAAATTTAACAAAAAGGGAGAACAAAAAATTTACTGTATTTGTATATATACATACATACAGGTGCGGATGTAAGTTGTTCGACGCCCTATACGGATTTCAAAAAATACCCCCCTAGTTTCAAAGCCATGAGCAATATGTAAAAATATATTACACATTGCGAATAATAATTGGGCGCCTGTTTTCGGGCACTCATTACATATGCTTACTTTACATACATGGTAGATCCGGCACTGTTTAATACATTCATACATCTAAATATATAGTTAAGAAAATTCTCTAACGAATTATTAAAAATGCAAATGGAAAAAGAATAAAAATAAATAAAAAATAAAAAAAAAATTACAAGGAAAAATTGTTGCCATCAAAGGGCTCAATCATAATTACTGACACTTAGTATAACACTTTTTCTTCTATCAAATCTTAATTACAAACGACATTAATATGAAAAAATATAAAAGAACTATATATAGAACAAGAAAAGTGTGTAATTATTGATTGTCTCTAACAATTTATTTTTTAATTCAAAAATATTTTTTTTTATTAAAAAATGGAAAAATTTAGATAAACAATTAAATTACTTAAATGATTCCATAGTACTACAATGAAAAAAGAATGTTATAAAAAGTATTATTTGTAGAATGGCACACTTAAAACTTTTATATGTAGCTCTAGATCTAAGCAACGAAAACGCGATGTTTTCAAGTAGTTCTTTTATTGTCATATAATTTTGCATAAATTTGGGCGAATTATTAGAGTAAATATTCAATAATTTGTATTGTTTAATCATTTAGTAAAACATAGGAGGGTATACGGGTGATAACTGCGGATGATACGAAAAAATTTTATTCTATAGCGAAATAATGATATTTTTTAGATCTATTTGCACATAAAGCTTTTTGTAAACACACGGGTACACAGAGTATAGCTAATATTCCAAAATTTTTTAAAATATTCGGGAAATGTGCGAAAAAACATTATATTATTGGTGAATTTTTAATAAAGCAATAAATTTCAGTCAATTAAAGCAAAGTGTAGAACAAGTATTAAAGCAATTACATACAGTTTGCTAAACTTATAATTAATCCAAACTGAAAAAAAAAGTTCAACAATTAATATAAATTAAAAATATTCTCTTAAAATATTGAAAATATGCAAATTATAATTTAAGTGAACAATTAAAGTAACTTAATCTTAAACTAATTTAAAATATTATAAATATTCTTGCCTTTATAATTATATAATATATTCTGTAATATATTCTAATAGTCAAATATTGTTAATATTATATAAAACCTTCTAATCCACATATATAATGTACTGCAGCCAATTAATTTTTGTTACCACACCCGAAGCGTTTACAGTAGCCGCAATATGTTTATACGTACTCGTATATACATATATAATATAACCATTTACATATGAATTAGTTCATTTAAGTTCATTTACATATCCAAGAGATTAATAAATGCGACGATATATACGTACTCTTTGCTGATATATATATATATATATCAGCTGATATATATATATATATATATATATATACGCATATATAGAAATTGTAGATGTCTTTTTATAAAAAAAAAATCCTTAAATACTTTAAATCAATTCTATTTTTGTTGTATCATATGTCTGGACATTTTGTTCACATTTTTGATTGGATTTTCATTGAAGGATAATTTTTTTCAGCTTTTTTTTTTTAATTTTAAGAATTCTTTAGAATATTTATTTAATTTTAAAAATTCATTTAAAAAATTCTAGTCAATTGTATTTTAAAATAAGGTTTTTGTTCGTGTTCTAAAAAAGTATGAACAAAATTAGCTTAAATTATATGTAAGACATAAGTATGGACTCATATACAAGAATGAGTCCTTGAAAGTTAAGAATTAAGATGGTTTATGAAAATAAATAATATTCATAATGATATTAAAAAAATAATAACTATTTCACCAAGTACTTACACGTCAAACTGTTACAAGATCCTTTCCATAAAGTATGCAATCAAATTCTTATATATTTCATTTATTTAGAATATAGCTTAGCTATATACACAATTTGATTTCCATACACACTTTTGTTATTACAATTTAATTATTGTATTGTACAAAAATTTTATGTAATGCATGTATATTAAGCTACGCATAATGTTGAATATAATTTTTGCAGTGATCTAATCGGGCTCTGAACCCGATACCATCGAATTAAAGGACTAGTTCAATAACTACTGCACCATTGGTCAGGACATAATTCAAAATATAACTTTTAAATTTTACTTGTAGACTTAAACTTATTGGGATTTCTTAAATATGTATGTAGTCCTTTAAAAAATAAGATCAATAGGGAATTCTATTGTAAATGAATAAGGAATATCTCCCTGTGTTATAAAATTATTTTTAACAGTAAAGGATTTACATACATAAGAAATAAATATATGATAAAATCTTTTTGTAAAAAAATTTTCAAAATTAATCAAAAAAATAATCTCAAAACAAATAATCTTAATTGTGTGTCCTCAAATACAATAAATTCAATTCAAAACTCCAAATTTAAATTACAGGCTTTTTTCCATAAAATTTTGCACTATATACAATATGAATTATATTAATATATATAAATATTTTATTAATTTAAAAATAGCTTAGCGTATGTCGAAAAATATTGATGAATTGACAAAATTCATTTAATTAATTTTCAATAGAATTTACACTAATTTTGTATTTTTCTAAAAACTCTTCTGTAAAATTAAATATTTATTTTAAATACAAGTAAAATTTTATAAAATAAAATTTCAATATAAAATCTAAATATATATACATACATATATATACATATTTACTTTCCTTTAATTATATTAAAAAAAAAAAAATATTTTATATATGCAATATTTGCTCTCATTTAAGTGCAATTCACTTAAAGTAGAACACAATAGTAACATTGTATAACAAAAAATTTAATTTTTGTATAATAAAAAAAAAATATAACAAAAATGAAAAGCGATTTGTGGATAATTTTATAAAACCTCATCAATATTTAATCGTATTTTTTTTTCTCTTTTTTTATAGCTATATACCAAATTCAATATATTTTTTTATTATTAAATATTTTATAATATATTGAAAATTTTTAGTATATTTTTGCCACATATTACAATTTTTATTTCTCTCCCTCTCTCTCTCTCTCTCTCTCTCTCTCTCTCTCTCTCTCTCTTTATAATTCTTCAATAAAATTAAAGTTTATTCATTACAAAATTTTCGTTTTTATTGCTATTTATTTATTTTGTGTTTTATTTTTCCTAAATGTCTAGCTCAATATATTTGATGCATCATACCCAAATAT